ATGACCCTTCTGTACTCTTTTTTAATGAAAAAGACAATTAAAACTATTTTATCTACAACTGTCATGTAATGACACTGATTTGACACTTATTTAAATTTTGTAATGACGTATATTACCGCACTAGTGCGGTAATGATGCGGAACTTATAGTTAATCAAAATTAATCATTTATTTAACAAAACAGAACAAATATAACATTAATAATGAACTCTGATAATTGCAAATATTAGTTTCCATATGTTTTGAAGTCGATGGTATATTTTCTTTGTTTTCTCCTAAGATTTTCATAGCTGTTTTTTTCTTATTTTCTGCCGAAGTCTCAATATATCCTTCAGCGACAGAATTAGACTTCCAGCCGCCATGTCTTTTAATATTTAGAAGATCTGCACCAGAGTCGGCTAAAATTGAAGTTGAAGAACGCCGTAAACAATGCCCTGTATACTGCTTTGGATTGGGCAGTTCAAGAAATTCGGCAATTAATCTTGGAACACTACCAATAGTATTTGTGTTGTACATTTTCCTGCTCTGTATCCAACAAAAAATCGTTGATGGCTACAACTTTTAGATCTTAATGTAGAGAATTTTCTAACAATTGTAACATAAATTAATACCATCAATGTTCCAAGATGTAACAAAAAATTCTCGCGATATTTTTGTTTTGGTATTTGGAATGACAATTTGATAGCACAATCCTTGATATTTTACATTTTACACTTTGACAGAAGTTGGTTATCAATTCCGTTGCTATGGTTACAAAATACTGACAGGTTACTTGTATTCGCAAATAGTCAATTTTAACTATATGCCGACATAATTTTATTCAATATAATTTCGAATTTTCGGAGTTGTTGTTACATGACAGCTGTAGATAAAATATTGTACAATATTCGTGCCGGTAACACATTATTAATATACTTATGTGATTGCAATTTTCACATGCATATATTAATAATGTTCATACCGCACTTATATCGTAAATATCTATTAGAATCATCAATTTACGTTTCTAATAAGTTTAGGTTCAAAATCAATACCGAATAAATGAAATATTTAAAAGAAATGAATATGGAAAAAATTCCCCAATTGTAATTAATGTTCCTGTTTTGTCAAATCAGTCCTTGAACTTTTACTTATACTTGCGCAACGGAATGTACAAATAATCCGGAATGAAATAGAAGCGGAACAAAAATTATGGGACTTTTAAAATAGTAGTTTGTGTAACAAGAGTGGATATGAAGGCCATATCGCACGAAGACGAAGTTTGAGTACTACGCTGTAGGCGGATCAGGGTATATTAATAAAAAAGATTAAAAGGTTGATACCTAATATATAACAGGTGACAGGATAATAAAATTGTCAGAAAGTCAAACCAACCTGAAGGAATAAAAATTATTTAGACAATATATATTTTTTTAATTGTAGAAATGCATTTCCTTAACTTTTGCAGGAGACTTTGAAATTGTTTTACAAAAACAGACTAACTAATAAGTATGAAAATAAACAAATTAAAATAGTAAAAAAAAACACTGAGTTAATTATTGTTAAAAAACAAAAACTGATATTGCCGATACCAGCAAATTATATTTTGCTTGTTCTTTACTAGAATAAATAAGTACATTTTTTCATGGATAACTTTTGAAACTTTAAAAATTACGAAAGCAAATTGGACGATAAATTATTTTTTAAAATTTTAATCGTATTAGATAAAGTATACCAACCGTCAAATAAAACCAGCAATTGTACTTGGTCAACTATAGCTAATTTCGTAATCGAATTATAGGCGACGTAAATATTAAAAGGTCACTTTAAAGATTCTTTTGAATAAAAACCCATTTTTACTCCTAAATGCCAATTTTGATAATCAAATTAAAGAAGGCTCATATTAAAAGGACACTTTAAAGTTATATTAATTTCATAATACAAATTTATTGAAAAAGTACACTTTATCGTTTGACTAAATACCCATTTTTGCTCCTTTAGAATCTTAAAGCACTTTTTACAACTAAGAGGTTTGGAATTGAAGAGGTATATTAGTGCCTTTTTTCATTTTTACTTTCCTATCTGTATACAGATATTAGGAGAGAAAGAAAAAATTGTTCAAATAAAAGTTACTTCTCATATTATTATCTATAATTTCTGTTTAATGTCAAACTTTCCTGAAATGGTCCGTATTCGAAAAATTTGACAAAATGTGCAAAATTCTGATTTTTATGAAAATTGTTGGTTTGCGATATCGATCTCTATAATTTTTGTTTATACATGATTTTTCTAAAATGGATCGTAATGAAAAAATTGTAGGAAATTTAGATAATTCAGTATTTTCGTTTTCAATGAATATCTATAGAAAAATGTTTCGAGGTAGATGTATGTGGACAATGTATATATTTAGTTTATCCTTTAAACATTTATAGAGATGCTGCAATAGGTTGTATAAAATAACCGGAAAAACATATAATAACCAGATAGGAAAGTCATATGTTGGACACATCAGATTTTTTGAAGTACAAAGGACCACGCACTTTTCTTATGCAAACGGGAGTACCGTCAAAATGTCTGAATTTTTGATATGTTAAATTTCTTGATGTCCCCATCAAAAGTGTCCATGGGCCCAATCGTATTCTATGACTAGATTTTGAGATACAGAGTGTTAAAGTTAGAAATCCCTAATTTTTTAAAATGGACACCATAAATCACCCTTTTTTCTCCTCGGCTCGTCTGACTATGTCTCCGAATAACACTGAAGCCTATTGGTTTATTGTGTTTTACCTCATGTTAGTTCATAGCACCCACTCTGTCACCTTTGTACCTTGTACAAGTTTGTACAGATCCTTGGGTGAGTGGGTTTTATACGTTGTTGAATCAACCTGAGGTTGTCCAAAAAGAGCCTGTCTTTTGCGATCTAGAGCTTCGCATTCGCACAGTATGTGTTTGGCCGTTTCTGGTTTCTTGTGACATAGTCGGCACATGAGTTCCCCATTGTACATGCCAATTTTGTTCAAGTGTCCCTTTACTGGGGCGTGCCCAGTCATGAACCCTGTTAAGAAGAGGCCCTACTAATTGCTCCACTAGATCACCCGACTAACTACTCTATATTTTTTCTTTTGGAATATGTTAAAAATGTAGTTCATCAAACTTAGCCGACCACCGTCATTCATTATCAAGGGCGGCTCCAAAACATTAGCCATTTCCTTTTTAGCATACGTTTTTAAATAAAAGGCCCATAAATTGTAAGAATTTTCATCTCGGGGGTTCATGGTATTTTTACCTGCAAAGGCGACTGGTAATGGCATTTTATATTTTTTCTTTTTTACTCTTAAAAATAACGAATTTTGATACTCAAAACAGACAAATATTGAATATAGAGTGATTACTTGTGAATTACCATAAACCCTTTTCCTCTATTTTGTGCTTTTAAATCACATTTGAGGCAATATTTTGGCTTTTTTATGTTGAGCTTTTCGATCAAAAATTATGCTTCTTATACTGTTGTTTTGCGATAATCGTTTCTTCAGTATTGGCAACACTGTATACCTAGTCTAAAGCCTTGTTCAGAGCAGCAGAGGCGAACGTGGCGATGCGTTAGCGTTGCGTCGAGTAACGAGATTGATATTTCAGAGCATCGCATGGTCGCTTTCACTCTGAACGTTTGCATTTGATAACACTAGGTTCTTTTACCGACGACGCAACGCCAACGCATCGCCATGCTCGCCGCTCCTACTTTGAACAAGGCTTAAGATACAAACCGAACATCTTGAAAATGTATCATTCCTTCTGTGCTTTTATTTTCTATCAGATTTTTGTGAAATTTTCAAGAAATAACAAAATTTAGGGTATGAAAAACCTTTTTTTGTAAACCTTCAAAAAGTAGTTATTTTAATTTTTTTTTTTTTGGGATTAAAGAAAACATTTACGCGACATTCTGTATTAAATATAGGAAAATTTGCTGCATTTTGTTTTAATAAATATCTAGTAGTTTTTAAATGGAAGGATTTCCCACCTTTTTTCTTAAACGTCACTGTGAGTTATCCTTATCGTTGCACAAATTTAAAGCTCTTAATATTCTCGACACACATAATATCCCAGTGGCGCGCATATAAATGCAATATTATACTAGAAAATCTTTTAAACGAGTCTACTTCAGCGCATCCTAGATCATCAACTCCATTTGAAGAAAAAGAGTTAGATGATGACGTCATTGAATCTGACTATGAAAATTAATACGAATATATTTTTTAATAAAAATAACTTACCCTTTTAAATAGTTCTATTTTGTATTTGCCCAGATTAATAAATTAAGTTAAAATTAAAAGAGAATAAGTGCATTTTTCTAATATTTTTGCGTTTTTGACACATTTGACAGATTTCAAATATATACATACAATCATATATTTCTAACGTCTTTATCTTTCACACTAACGACCAGAAGTCAAGAATTTTAAAACAATACTTAATTTTAAACTTCAATAGCTTAATAATTAAAAAACTGCACTTATACGTCTTTAATTCCAAACCCCTCAACTGATACCTATTTGGCGTTTAACGCTTTGAGGAAATCGTGCCATTGAGTTGTTTGCTTTAATGTAAATAAACGGAATAAACAAATAAATAATATACATTTGATTAAAAGATTAAAGAACCAAAAACGTTAAATATCTGGTAACATGCTGAAATCCCTATACCGGAAGTAGCAAAACCGGACGACAGAAAATGTTTGCCTATTTTCAAAAAATTAAAAATTCATCGATAAGCAACTTTACTTTAAATTTAACAGATCGCACGACAGGTCCTGCCACCGAAACGCAGTATGTTTTGTTCATCTAAATCTGAATTGATACCTACGAACGAAAGGTTTTTTAATGGTAAGAACGTGAATCATATGGTTTCTCAGATTTGAGGTTTTTAGATTTTTTACACACAACTTGAAATTCGATTATTTTTTTTAATACAAAACTTAAAATTTTTCGTACCTACACCTACCTAATAGAGTTCTTTTTGTTGTTACAGAACGTCTGCAGATGGTTGTTAAAACATCAACACAAATTAAAACAAGTTATTAGAGCATGTTCATTACAAGTTAAAGAAGCACCACAATTGGACGAACTTCCAAATGAACGTTACGAAATCGAATCTGAAGTTAGCTTCAAAGTAAGTTTTTTATAAAATAACTCTCGTTGTCATCCCAGTTTATAAAATTACTAGCTGTTGCCAGTGGCGTTGCGGAGCTAAAAAAAAGGTCCACTGGTTCTCTACATAACCTTTCTGTTTTTGTATTTATCTTCGGGAGCTGAAAAAGGTCCTCACCTCTCCAACGTTTATCAATGTTGTGTTCGTGTTTAGAATTGGGTCAAAATAAATATGGTTAACCAACAATATCTATACAGTATGGTTCAAATGAAAGGAATAAATTCATTATAATGGAAGTAGTAAGTTTTTCGAAAAAATGCTCGGACAGGTCAATTTTGTTTACTTAAAGCACAATTTTTTAAATGAAATTCAATTTTCCCCCACTTCCCATTTTTGGCAGTGACGTCATTGACAATTTTTTTAAATAGAAACCCCAATTTTTTTTTCTAGATTTTGATAGATCTTGCAATTTCCTACTCGGAAACATAATATTTGAAATATCTGACAACAATTTTTTTTGAAAAAAAGTCATTTAAAGATCAGATACATCAATTTTATGTTATTTTGAAACACAATAAATTAATAAAAGATAATTATTTGTAATTAAGTGCTTAATCTAAAAAAATAATAATAATAATAATAAAAAGAATTTAATGACAATTTCATAAATTCTTTTTATTATTATTATTATTATTTTGTTAGATTAAGCATTTAATTACAAATAATTATCTTCTGTTCATTTATTGTGTTCTCAAAATAAAATAAAATTTGTGTCTGATCTTTAAATGTCTTCTATTAAAAAAAAATTGTTATGTAAGATATTTCAAATATTATGTTTCCGAGTAGGAAATTGCAAGATCTATCAAAATCAAGAAAAAAAAATTGTGGTTACCATTTAAAAAATTGTCAATGACGTCACTGCTTAAAAATGGGAAGTGGGGGAAAATTGAATTCTATTTAAAAAGTTGCGCTTTGAGTAAACAAAATTGACCTGTCCGAGCATTTTTTCGAAAAACCAGCTACTTCCATTATAATGAATTTATTCCTTTCATTTGAACCATACTGTATAAGGATCGGGGCAGTAGCAATGTCGTCTTTGCTCCATCATTGACGTCACTGTTTTCGACTTAATTCATAGGCTTTTATTATATCGCACATTGGGTCAAAATAAATATGTTTACCCAACAATATCTTTATAATGATCGGGGCAGTAGCAATGTCGTCTTTTCTCTATCATTGGCGTCACTGTTTTTGACTTATTTCATATGCTTTTTAACCGACTTCAAAAAAGGAGGAAGTTATCAATTCGTCGCGATATATTTTTTTTTATGTATGTATGTTCAGCGATTATTCTTTAACACGATGTCCGATTTCAATAATTCTTTTTTTGTTAGAAAGGGGCTACTTTAGGGGTGGTCCCATATAAATTTGGTCAAAATCTAATAATTGGATCCATGGGAAAATCCTCAAAATCTTCATTTTTTATGTATGTTTAGCGATAATGCTTTACCACCTTGTCCGATTTATACGATTCTTTTTTTGTTAGTAAGGGGGTACCTCAGGGGTGGTCCCATATAAATTTGGTTAAGATGTGGTGATGGCATCGGCACGTTTTTGAAGTCGGTTTTTTTAAATTTTTAATTTGTAATACTTGTATTATAACGCACGCAGTAACTGACTGGAAGAACTTTACGAAAAAACTAAAATCAATACACACTTATTAGGAATATTTAATAAATTCAATAAACAACGAATAAGTGAATTGTTTGATTTAAAAAATAATTCCTGAATTCCTAACACTTCTCTAAAACCTCAGCAGACGGCGATCTCCAACAAATTATTCCGCCAAGTGATGACGTAGGTTCTTCTTATTGTAATCGGACCCTACTAGCCATTTATTGGAATCTGGCATTGGCAAGTCGTAATTTTGTCAAAATTGTCGTTATTATTCAGCACTAAGTAGTAAAATACATAAAAAACATTTCAAAACAAGTAATGACTATTATTAGGGAGTATTTAGAAGGAGTTTGCAAAGAAAAATAATGGAAACTACTGCTCTAAGCAATTGTGTGCGGAGGTTTAATTCAAGAACATATAAATTAGCGAAATTGTATTTTACTTAATGTTTTTTTGATATCAAAATTTATTTGATCTAGTTTTAAATATAAACAACGTATATTTTACCTATAAAAATACCAAATTATATTAATTTGCGCTAAATATCTGACTCCTTTATCATAATATGTTTATAAATTAATTTTTTTAATATATCAATACAAGATGGTAATTTGCAAATGGATACAGTATCCGAAATAAATGTAATGTTGAAATAGATCATGTTTTGTTTGCGGATCAGCGATATTAATGAACCAATGTTCGTAATGATTAATTTTGGCAATCATTATCATAATTTTAAAATTTGTAATTACAATAGTGCGTCAGAAGGTATGATTCTAAAATAGGTCAAGGTGTTTAAAAAAACAACTTGAAATTAGTTGAAATCTATTTTTAATATTCAAAATTCAATTGAGGAAATTAAAATTTATAAAATTCAGTTTTCGGAAATAACCTTAATAAGTGAATTGTTAATTCTCAGTTGTAAACAAATTTTCGGAAGGGGGTGACCTTTGATAGATAGTTTGGATTAGTCCTTTTTCAAAAAGTATGCAATCTTGAAATCTGAAAATATATTATGTACTGGCATTTGTCTTCTTTTTCTCTTCCTCAATTTCTTTTTGGCTTTTCAGGCATCCGAAAAGGATTCCTTGCATATTTTTTCCATGCCTTTCTGGTCTCTAGCCAATATTTTCATCTCATCTATTGTATTTTTTCTTTTACCGTTCATTTTTCCTTAATTTGGTGTATCAATTTTCTTGTTGGTCTTCCTCTTTCTTTCTTTCTTAACTGGTTTCCTAATTCTGAAACGGTTCTTGTTATTTTCTCTGGTTTCATTCTCAACAAGTGTTAATACCCGTTAAAATTGTGTCTGTTTTGTTTTTTCAATTATTAATTTATGTTTCTTAAGTATTTCATTCCCATAACAATAATTTTTATTTCATTTTTCTTGCGTATTAGGTACCCAGTTTTCACAGGTACATATATGTTAGTATTGGTATTGTTTTGTTTAACGAATAGTATATTTTGATTGATTTGTTCGCTCTGTTTGTTAATTCTGCTTATACCGGTGTGAACTTGGCAGCCAAAAGCTAGCGGCCAATTTCCAATAATTCAAAAAGGGCTGCTGCCACATTGAACCAACTTAAACCCTTCGTAAGAAAATCACATTAGTCTCAAATTGTTTCTAATATTATTATCTAGTTGTATACCGATTTTGAAACTGTTATTTTTTTTCCTTCTGTACCAAACAGCTATTTCCAATATTTCAAAAAGAGCTGCTGCCACATTGAACCAACTTATACCCTTCGTAAGAAAATCAGACTAGTCACAAATTGTTTTTAATATTGGGTTAGGTTAGGTGTATGTACAGTGGCCCTAATAAGGCCTAAGTGCCGTGGGGGTAATACACCCTCCACACGTTATATACCACCACATACTTTGATTACTATACGAGGCAAGAGAGAGGTCCGACACGCACAACATAGGGCGCGGCCATTTTGAACCCTGTGACACAGTTTACAGCTAAATAATCAGATCGCTCACTCTGCGTCGGCACTTTGGATCTCAATGTTTTAGTTTATACACTGTGCAACTCGGATAATACAATATATGACAACCGCCTATAATAAAACAGCAGTCTTCTGCGTATCCTGAATTTGTATCCCTGGAGTGGATGTTATTTTGGAACTTTCAACTGGTCCGAGTGAGCTAACTGATTCTTTAGCAATAAACTGTGACTTCAAAAATAATATTCACTGACACTGACAGCAGCAAGCAAAATATCAGGTGCGTTTTATTCATCCGCTTCTGCTTCCGGAATTGTCGGTTTAGTCGTTTTAACCTGTCAGATTAAAACAAGAAAACCGACAATTCCGAAGCAGAAGCGGATGATTAAAACGCACCTATTAAAAATATTGCGCCAAGATGTAGGCAACACGTAATAAGGGTTCAAAATGGCGGAGTTTTCTATCTCCTTTTAAAAGGCACTCAGAAAGCTGCGCAGTGCGACCATTCTCCGTATAGTAAAAGAAAATCAAAGTATGTGCATACCACATACTTTGATAACTATACGGTGCAAGAGAGAGGTTCAACACGCCCAACATAGGGCGCGGCTATTTTGGTTCCTATGCCACAGTTTATAGCTAAAGAATTAGATCGCTCACTCTGCGTCGGCACTTTTGATCTCAATGTTCCAGTTTATACACTGCGCAACACGGATAATACAATATATCATAACCGCCTATAATAAAACAGCAGTCTTCTGCGTACCTGAATTTTTATCCCAGGAGTGGATGTTATTTTGGAACTTTCAACTGGTCCGAGTGAGCTAACTGATTCTTTAGCAATAAACTGTGACTCCAAAAATAATATTCACTGACACTGACAGCAGCAAGCAAAATATCAGGTGCATTTTAATCATCCGCTTCTGCTTCCGGAATTGTCGGTTTAGTCGTTTTAACCTGTCAGATTAAAACAAGAAAACCGATAATTGCGAAGCAGAAGCGGATGATTAAAACGCACCTATTAAAAATATTGCGCCAAGATGTAGGCAGCACGTAATAAGGGATCAAAATGGCGGAGTTTTCTATCTCCTTTTAAAGGGCACTCAGAAAGCTGCGCAGTGCGACCATTCTCCGTATAGTAAAAGAAAATCAAAGTATGTGTTACAGACAGATACAGATATTAGGTTTGTTCGTAGAGCGATCCACAACCGTTTCGAACTGAACAGCGCATGTGCATTGAATATTTTAGGTTCGTAGAAGAATCACTGATAGTTTCCAATTATTAGTTTGGCGTTCGTAGAAACGAATAAAGTGATTTCCATCTGATTGGAAACGGTTGGAAAAATCCCTGACAATTCTTCGAAGTGTAATTAATACCACATACTTTGATTTTTATGTGAATTAATACACACAAAATTTAAAAGTATGTGGAGTCTATTCTGTAAAAATTCCTTTATATTTAACGGCCTTTAAAAATATTGGCAGCCTTTAAAAGTATATTTGTATTCGTTAATTTACTTCTGTCATTATTTAAACAGATTTCTTTAAGATAGTACTTTAATGTATTTTAAAGATCCGTTTAAATAATGACAGAAGTAAAGAAGAAAATATTTTTAAAGGCCGTTAAATATAAAGGAATTGTTACAGAATAGACCCCTGTATCTGTGACTCATACAACGTCAAACTTCAAATGATTTCTTCTTTTTTTTTATCCGTTTACTAAATCTGTATACGAGAATAGATAGAGACGAGTCCACAACTCTACAAAATGTATCTACGAACAAACCTATTATTATCTAGTTGTAAACCAATTTTTAAAGTGTTAACATTTTAAAGGCGTTACTGATCTTTCGGGCATCTTTGGGAAATTGGCCGCTAGCTTTTGGCTGCTAAGTTCACACTGGTCTATTTTCCCATCTTTTTTCGGCTTACTTCCTAAATATTCATAGTTTATTACTCTTTTTAGTATTTAATCTCCTTGATATTTTGTATTATTTGCCTTACATTTATTTATGTCCTTTGTTTCTCTGGTCCATATAAGTTCATTAATTTTTGCATTTTGTTTTTAAGCTATTGCATAGCTTTTATTGCGGGCTTTGAGCGCGGCGACCGAATCAAGAAATGTCCGTAACGACCGTAACAAAAATAACCTAACACCCCCCACTCCGACCGGCACAGCTGTGCAGCGTTGAATGCCGTGGAAGGTTTTATCCAAATCCGACCCTATTCGTATTAGTATGAAGCGGAGTTAAATATACGTCTGCGGACTGGAACGTTTATGCAATACAAGAACTAGAAGTTAAGTAATAATGATACTTTTATAGTTTTTAAATCATATATTTATGTGATTCCATTAAATTACAATGTAGGTATCATTTGATATGATAAAATTTTGTTTTCAATTTATTTTTGTTTAGTTAAACAGTAATAATTCGTAAATATTTGTAATCAAATATTATATATTAGTATAAACGATTCCAAACTTTTATCAACATTTGCTCGGTGGCGCAGAGCGTACAGTGGTCAAAATTTGGATAGTGTGGATAGCAAAGTTGGTGGTTCGAGCCCGGAAACTATTAGTTTTTTTTTGTTTTTTTTTCTTAAAAAAAATATTATTGTTTTATTATTTCACAGTCTTGGTAATTTAAAATGTTTATTTTTTAAAAAGTATATACTTATTCAATGCATAGTGGCGCATAACGAGGTTCATTCAAGTGCAGCTAATTTTAAAAATGCAAGCTACCAGTGGAGACTTCAAAATTTAAAAAAATAAACAAATAGAAATATATTTTTTTTCAATAAGTACAACAATATTAACTTCTCATTTATTCAATAAAAGACAAAAATTTGTTTTCTTATCGGTCACCACGCTCAAAAAGTTTAACTTGAATTAATATCAAAGAAAAAACTTGAATTCATATCAAAGAAAAAAATACTGCATAAATAAAATAAATAAATAATTTTAATTGCTTAAGTTGATAAAAATGCTATGTAATAGCTTTACCGCGGCAGTCCTCGAGTGCCACACGTATTTTTTTTATATTTGAGAGATGAATACCACATCATCTGCGTATACAAGACTTAAATAATCTTACACGTTGTAGATTTTTGTATCTTATTACTGTGTTTACTTTCTCTTTTATTCGTTTTACAATCCTGTCCATAGTAATGATAAAAAGTAATGAGCTTAAATTGTCTCCCTACTTGATCTTTTTTTTTTTTTCATTTAAATTCCTCTGAACTTTGTCCTGCTATTTATATTTTTACTGCTTTTTACTATCTCGTAGATGCTTTTTATTGCGTTTATTAAACTATTGGGGACTTCCGTTTCTTATAGGCTATTCCATATTTCTGTTCTTTCACACTGAGTCGAATGCTGCTTTTAGGTCTATAAAACTTATAAACATTTTTTCCCCTTCTTCTATTTTTCTCTCTAAGTTTCTTAAAATGTATATCGCTGATTTAGAGAAAAAGGAGTCCAGCGCCAAATACAAAATTGGTCAACCTGCCAATGCTAGGTACCTACTTGAAACCCTGTTTCCCTCATTCTTATTTAAATGTTGGTGCTTGTACTCTCAGCTTTCTTTTTAATACACCGCTTGTCGCTTGTCACCTTTTTCAAAATGTTAGTTAGGGTTCGAGGATGTGGCTATGGCAGATATCTTAAAAATGGCTCAATTCTTGGTCCCTTTTTGCTCTACACCAGCGATATGTTATCGTTCGTCTACATTTCTAAACGCTGCCTGTGTTCTTTATCTAATTTCTAGTCTACGTGTTCTCTTAGCCTTTTTTTAGGATTCCTGTGAATATTTTAAAGCTTTTTTTGGGCCAGATATATAGCTCTGTAGTTGTCACACTCACTCTGTATTCGTTTTTGTATATATTATGTATTATAAGATTATTTTTACTTTCTCTTTTTATCTTTTGTTTTTGCTATACTTCTTTGCATATACAACCCATCTATCTGTATCTGTAACGTATGGTAGGTGGGTTAACCCACGGCACTTAGGCCTCCCTAGGCCCATTGTGCATCCTCCTAAGTAGATTGGCACCTCCTAGCTTCTGAGCCAGCCTACAGATTGTAGTTGACAACGTCGCCAAGAGGCGACAGTGTTCGGGTTGTGTTACTTCTAACCGCCAACTTAGTTTTATTGAAAATTTTAAGTCACCATAATTTTTTTTACTCAAATACCATGAGAGATATAATCTGTTTTGCAAGAGACAAAAATGCTACAAATGAATGCAACTATCCATAAGAGTAGCTGCTCTCAAAAAAAATAAAAATACGATGTCGTTTATGGTAGGATTAGGGTGGTTTTTACCCTTCCATATTGTCCTTAACTCTCTTCCTGCTTTAAAAATTGCTATAATCGCGTGCAAGTATCGTATTAAGTTTATAACTCGATTTTTTATGAAACTTTGTTATATAATTCTGTAAAACGGGTTTTGATTCGTAAACAAACAAATTACATAGATATATTCTTTTGTAGTATGATGATCTTACCGCGAAATTGGCCGATCCCGGAAGGCTTCGGATGAAACCAGATATCAGCGAATTAAAATTTGGACACTTCTTCACCGATCACATGTTACAAATACAATATCACGAAAAACTGGGTGGATGGCAAAAACCAAAAATTACTCCATTCCAAAATCTTCAACTGCACCCCGCTGCCAGATGTCTTCATTACGCCCTGGAGGTAAATAGATTTTAAATATTAACAAAAAAAAAAATAAAATGTCACCAGGTATTTAATTTTTTTTAGTTATTTGAAGGTTCTAAGGTATATAGAGGAGTAGATGGAAAAATAAGATGGTTCAGGCCAGATTTAAACATGGCAAGAATGAACAGATCAGCTGAGAAGATAGGCTTACCGACTTTTAGTTCAGACGAATTAATAAAATGTATCAAAAGGTTGATTCAAGTAGATCAAGAATGGGTACCTCATAGTGAAAAGGCTAGTTTATATATTAGGCCAACGTTTATTGCAATTGACGTAAGTAAACACAGTACTACATTTTTTATTATTGAGGATAAATGACATGCAGAGCTAATAATTTTTATATTTACTTTCTTTATACTTATACAACAAATTACGGTATAGATTTGGAAGCAGTTATGTAATATTAATAAGTGGTCAATGATAAATTTTAACTTGACCTAATCTAAGTTACCTAATTCTGTATCAATGTGTTACCTTCCTTAAATCTTAAGACCAAGACACATTATATTTTCTTTGTAGATGTAGGTACTAAAATAAAATCTTTCCTGTAATATTTAATGCAGCTTTTTTCCAGGACCTTCAGCAAATATCTTCGTCTTTTTTATAAGCAGTTTCTATCTTTAGGTTTTGATATTTTTAACGTTAATATTCTTCAATCAGAATTTAATTTTGCAGGGTACCTTGGGTGTGGCAAGGAGCGAATCTTCACTTCTCTACGTTATCCTCTGCCCAGTTGGTTCTTACTGGGCGGAGGGGCAGAGGGATGACGTATCTCTATTAGCTGATCCTCAATATACTCGCGCATGGCCAGGAGGATGCGGAAGTAGTAAATTGGGTTCGAATTATGCACCGACGATTAGAGTACAAGCTGATGCTCAAAAAAGAGGTTTGCATCAGGTGTTATGGTTATATGGTCCCGAACACTATCTGACGGAGGTTGGAACTATGAACATATTCATGATTTACAAGGAAACAAATGGAGGTATATAATTCTACGCTATAAAATCCGACTTTAATTGTGTTTTATTCTATACCATTGGGTTTAGTTGTGTTAGCTCTTAATTTATATTTTTAAATTTACGCGCCGCGCCACTGACCAACGAGCGCTGTGAATTTTTTGGTCCAGGGGTAGTATTCTCGAATGTCGAATACTTCGATTCGCATGCGAGATTAGTAAAATGTCGAATAGAAACTAGGTGATTTTAAAAAGTGTATTCTCGAAAATAATACGACAAATGTCAGGTGAATTCAACACGAGTGGTCTAAAATGCTCGAATTTAAATTCTTATGCGACTTTGTAGACCGTAAACATGGATAAGGCAGATTTTGATTAAATTAATATTTGGTGGCTGTTGAAAATCAAAACATTATTAAAGAGTTACAGCATAGAAGGAAGATGTTTTTTATAAAAATCCATGTAGAATGTTATAGTGTTATTTATCAAGCATTTTCGATTTTCTAAGGAATCAACGCGGCTCTTAATAGATATTGTAACTAGCATGTTATAACGCCTCCAAGTAGAGTATCAGCAGGATGTTTTCGTGACATATTTTATATTTCAATTTCTGATTTGCATTGCAATTATGAAGACTAGAGATAAGGAGGCGAATCGGCCTTGGTCAAATTTCAAATTTCCGTCCCTATTTTTATGTAGTTCCAAAAAACTACTGTAGTTGGCGGGTGGCAAAATAACCACTTCTATTTTCTATGCAAGTCAATGGGAATTAAAGTGATTTTTGTAAAATTTAGTGAAAAGAATAAAAATAAGCTGAAATAAAGAACCTGACTACAAGTAACAATGAATAACAAAAAACGACAAAGCAGGATTTGCTTCGTTTCGGGTTGCAAAACGGGATATAAATCCGATATAAAATTAAAGAAATCACAAGGAGGTAAAAACCCAAGTCTTTTTAAAGCTCCTAGTGTATATAAAATAATGTATTCATTTCTAAATAATATATATTTATTGTAAAATAGTCACAACCCGTATCTTACGGAGTGTAGTTTATTTAATTACAAAATTCTATAATAAAAAATAGTCATAAATCCTGACTTACAAACAACAATAATTACACATTAAATTTAACTTACTAGAAAAGAAAATTTGCTTTTTTTTATGTTTTTTGATGTTAGATGAAAAGTTACTACTGTTATTTTTCTTTATTGAACTCCAATTTAGTCATTGCAAATATTTTTTATAAGATCCTAAACGGTTAGAAAAATGGCAGCATGTGATTCCTAGGGTTGATAAAGTAGTGTCTAGTTACGATTCTGTTTGCAAGCTACACTTTTTAGAAGATAATATTTTAAAATTTGATGAAACTATTTTAACTAATGGTACTGTTAACAAAATAAAAATAGAAAGGCCGAGATTAAAGAACGAAGCAATACCATGTATATTCCCGAATATCCCTTCATACTTGTCCAGTATTAGGAAAAGACGAAAACCACCTAATTTAAAAGAACATGACTACAATATTACAAAAACCTCTCCAGTTATTTTATCTTACATTTCTGGACACATTCCAAGAAAAGCTACCAGATTTGCAAAATGTAAAACTTGCATTCGACAATTATAAAGTATTGAGCCTCAGTCTAAAGATCAATTAATTACGTTAATATGTAAAGGGTTTTTAATATACCCTTCCCATTCTCTAATTTCTTTAATATCAATGCTGGAATCAACTATCTTAGAGGTTTTATCAAGAAACCCAGTTCATTAAGAAACTCGTTTTGAAATCATGAATAAAATTGAAGAAATGAGCACAAAGAAAATATTACATCTGCAATAATTCGCTTTTACCTAATCAGTAGAATGCATTTTATTTGTAAACAAATTAATAAAATTAATTAAAAATCTACATGGTCTGGGCTGGGATTCGAAGCCCAGCAGTCTCTGACACATAAACTTCCTTATAAATGAATATAAGCGCGTTAGACCGCTACACCACCGACCCGATAGAATAAAACGTATAATAATAAGAATGCTTCACATATATTTTATATTTATTAACTGCTGACTTTTTTGTTTTAGAAACGGTAATGATAACTCCTCCTTTAAATGAACTTATTCTTCCTGGAGTCAATCGAGATTCTATCATTAGATTGGGAAGGCAAGATAAGTCGATACGAGTAGAAGAGAGGATGTTCACAATGGGAGAAGTTTCTAATCTCCAAAATCAGGGAAGAGTAAGTATATAGACAATATAGACTTATAATATTACTTATTTTACCTACCTATTCATTATCATAATTGAGGTTTAATTAACTATAGTGAGATTCCCCGGCTCACATACAACATGGAATGAATGATAGTGAAAGAGTGAGCGAATGGGAAAGTAGTAGGACGCTGCAAACGGATTAGGGTGATAGCACTGGGGATCCGAAGGGTAAAAACAGTAATATCAGATCAAAAAATGTAAGGAACTTCATTACGCACTGAACGACACGAGCAAGAAACAGGACGGTGTTAAGTGTTGGTACAATCTATATTGTTGGTGCTGCAATAAGATACCGCAGCATTAAAATTCCTAGAGGGTACTGCAATTAGTTTTGATGGTGGGTAATGGAACAACAATCAAAGATATTAAAACAATAAAGTAAAACTAATTCAAATGTTTTATGTCCAAACTCTGCCCGTCGACCACTTTATGGAGTTTTTTATATTAAGAAAAATGGTTTTATCATATGTGTAGCGGAATTAAAATATTTATTTATTACCAATAAAAAATTATCTAGAAGAAGTATTTACTTTGGCAATTGTCTCTATCTAACGAATATCAACCAAATATAGACATGTACATTTGTGGTATTACAGAACTTTGAAAGTTTATTAAGAATATGTATACACGGTTGGGCAAAATGACACCCGATTTTTGGCTCAATTATGGATTATATTGAAAATTATCACTAATAAATTTTTTTGTATTTAATGGTTCTTGAGGATCTTCATCATCCGTCATATTTATTAAGATATGACGAGATTGAATGAAATTTTAAATGAATCACCCTATATTTATATTTTTTTTCGGATAGATCTTTTTTCTGAATATATCAATGTAGGGTTTAAAGGTCTTTATATTTAATATATAATAATAAAAAATAATAATTACTTTACATCGATCAAAGTACACAAATCTTTCAAAGTAAGTGTTCGAAGTGAAAACCTCAAACTGCCTGACAGTATCATAGTCTATCAACAAATGATCTTAAATCATTTCGATAAACTTCAGGTGTTATTTCTAGAACAGCAATTCTTATCTTGTATTCCAATTCTTCCAGTGAATGTTGCAGGTCCTTACAAACTACGGATTTCAAATGGCCCCAAAAAATCCAGTGGGGATAAATTCGGTGATCGTGCCGGCCACAATATGTCCTCTTCGACACACCGATCTCTGCGGAAATATTGTGTTCAGGTACTGCCTCATTCTAACATCGAAATGATGAGAAGCACCATCTTGCTGGAACCAAATTTCATCAGAAAGTTCTAATAAGTAATTATGGTGATTAGAAAATAAACGAACTAACTCTGGAACTATCTGCTTTTGAAGAAGTTGCAAATAACGATCACCATTCAGAATTCCTCTCATAAAGAATGGTCCAATAATTCTTCCTTTAACTATACTAGCCTAAACATTTAACTTATGTGGATATAGGGTGTGATCTTCTTCAATCCAGTGAGGATTATGTTCAGACCAATATCGATGACAATTATATTTATTTACAAAATGTTGATTTGTCGAAAAAACACAATGTTGTTCATCGACATATTATATCCATTAATGGCATCCATCATTTCCTGACATAATTGCATTCACCTATCATTCAATTCTTGGTGCAATTACACTTTATAGGGATGACTTTCAGAATTATTTTTACAGATCTCTCGTTCATATTATTGTCTAACGCAAGCTTTGGAACTTGTGTTCTTTGTTCTTCCTGTGCACTTTGAACCACATTAAGGGCATTTTCTTAATCAATGGCTGTCATCTTCCATCCAGATCTGGCATTGTTTTTTACACTTCCTGTGGCGGTTAGAGGGTTGAAAAGAATATTCGATGGCTCAAACAGACTCGCTTGTGTTTATCTGTAGAAGGCTTTGTAATCGGCCGTTCAGAGTGCCCATACACTCACGATTCTCTAACGGTATATCTAGTATTAATGATTATAAGCGACTTCTTGCTGGGTCCTGTGTACCTCGAACACGATACAGAGCTGGCTTGAGCATTTATTGTATTATTGTCGCAACATTTTCTGTTTCGTTGAACTTGCACCAATTTCTGGATACTATAGATTTAGAAATCGGGGAAATCCTGTCAGAAAATGTTTCATTGAACAAATCACAAGCTTCTTGCAGAAATCTCTTTCTCCAAACCCAACAATTATCAATAGTGTAATTCTTTCACGTTCACATTGTTCAACCATGGTTTAAATTAATAAAAATTCTCAGTATCATTAAATGTTCATATTTATTTATTGACCCATATTGGACTAGTTTTGGTGAAATCAATAGATTTTCAATTAAATTCATATTGTTTAATTGTCTCCATAAACCAGAATGAATTTAAATTCTGAAGGTGACGATATTATAAAAACCAAGTAAACGTTAGAAGGTATTCCTGTCAAAGATGTACAAGAATTGTATTAAGGAGGTCCTTTCGCCACCAATGTTAAATGTTAAATAAAAAATATTAGATTATGACTAAAATTAATTTTTTTCTAATAGTTGAAGTCCTTATTTATCTAATAGTGAACTTTTAACTATACCTTACCGTGCAAATTTTTGAGAATTTTTTTTTTAAATGTGTGTGTTTGTACAGTTTCTTATGAGAAAGTAAGACTTCAACAACAATTTTCGAATTATAATTTATTTTACTATTATTTATTGATTAGATGGAGTAGAAAAAAACTAAAAATAAGGTTTTTGAAATATTTAGGTTTTAGGTTATTAATTTCTCAATAAGTTCCACGGTTTACTATATATATTTTATTGTATAAAACAAAATCTAAATATTTCAAAAACCTTATTTTTAGTTTTTTTCTACTCCATCTAATCAATAAATAATAGTATAATTCGAGAATTGTTGTTGAGGACTTACTTTCTCGTGAGGCACTGTACAAATACTCACATTTAAAAAAAAAAAAAATTCTCAAAAATTTGCATGGTAAGGTATAGTTAAAAGTTCAGTATTAGATAAATAAGGACTTCAACTATTAGAAAAAAATTAATTTTAGTCATAATCTAATTACCTTTATTATAACATTTGAGGCGAGAGGTGTGGCGAAAGGACCTCCTTAATAAAACTGAGTGAATAATATCTAGATGTCAATATGACATTTATAATGTCGAAAAGTGAATACATAGCAAAGCAATTCAAATTGGTATATTATTACAAACAACTGCGGATAGTTATTTATTAATTATTCAAAACAGTGTTTACTGTTGCGAGCTAGTGGATTTTCCGTACTTACTTTCCACGTCTTGCACGGGGTTTCCTTCATGAATGGACTGAAATGGGATATTGGTGGTTCGTGTAACAAATAACTTTTGGGTTTTAAATGTACCTTCACTAATGTTGAAATTAAAAATGTACCTCTCTTTAACGTGTTTATTTAAATCTTGATAAACTGTAACATAAACTTTAACATTTGTGAACACTGTACTTAATCTACTAGTTTACATAATATTTTGTAATTAAACGTTGGCTTATAACATCTTATTGTGTTGTGAGAATCTCGCAAGAAAAAGAAAAAAAGATTCTGCCGTAGACCGAAGCTTTGCGCTTGACGAACTGTTACGTGAGTTACGCTGTAAAATGTTTATTGGCGGGGGAGACGACATTGTTTGCTAACTCATATGAACATTTTATTTGCTTGCTTTAATGAGAGTGACGGAAATTGACTTATATGAAGAGAGTGATGTCGTTTGAATTAAGAGGGAGAAACCTATTGTTCTGTTGTATTGCTATGCGAATTTATTTTCGTGGAATTCAAAGCTTGATGTTTGTTGGTGAGCTGTCGATTCTAAAGTGACTAACTATCCTTTGTATTGTTTGTATATTGATTCATGACTTTTATTTTATTAAATTAGATAATGCAATTTATGGATTAAATAATGAACTATGCTGTTATTTTTATGTTGCCTTTATTTTCATTATTTATACAAAGTGGGTTATAAAAGTAATTGACGCATCTTTTAAAAAATGCTTGCCATTTTTGAACAGTTCACCTTTAACCCTTTACTTTTAACTCTTTACCTTTTACCCTTTTAACGGTCTATTATTTTCGTATGATAAGGTGAGTCAGACACCAACCGAACCCCACATTGTTGGATTTAGAAAAAAAAACCTATCTAAAAAAATACATGGTGATTCATTTAAAATGTCATCCGATGACGTCATATCTTGGTAAATATGAAAGAGGACGAAAATCCCCAAGCTTATATGAAAAACTTTATTCAATTCAATTTTCAGTACAATCTATAATTGAGCCACAAATTGGGCGGTCCGCCAATTTTGCCCAACTCTGTATGCAGGTAAAGGTTAATCTGTGTTCGTCTAGAGCCATTTTTTTAAACTTTGGTTTTAGTAAAAAAAATAATCTATAAAAGTGGGGTAGTGTCAAAACTTTACATGGCTGTAGTTTGTATTAGTATTTTACTGTTAATATAAGTTGGTTTGCGAGGATGAGCCATTGATTGATTGTAATGAAGGTACCAAACAAATCACTTCTCTGGTGAACAACGACGCATTAGCAAATTTTGTCTAAATAAATTCGACCACAGTATGCAAAAATATTGGAACAACGGCATAATTGTAATACTTTTGTTTTAAATCATAACTCATCGTTCTTTATGTTACAATAACGACGTAAGTTCCATTTTGTATTTGATCCGTGATTTGATCCCAGTGTAAGAACGTCGTAATTCGAAATTTTCTAGATAGCAACAATGACACAATTGGAAGTTTCTTAATTTTTATTTGTTCTGGGATTTTAGTTTTTTTATGAAAACAAAAACAGCTAGGCTTATCTAAAACATATAATTCAATACCTGTTGCGGTATTAGCCAAAGGAGTAGTTGTTTTCCGAAGTAAAACGGTGTGACATATGGCTTTGAGTTTTTTTTTATTTTATTTTACGTCTTGATCACATTTGGGTGTGAATTATTTTACTTTTTTAGATTTAATATCTAAATAATTCCAGCTATGTAATTGAAATTTTTAATTATAGTGATTTCTAAAAAATGTGTTATCGTCATTGAAAGTTTTTGGCATGAATTACTAATTATTTTGGTTTTTAGCTTTTGGAAATGTTCGGAGCCGGTACAGCCTGCATAGTCACTCCCGTATCGTCAATAGAATACCTAGGAAATGTTATTAAAATTCCCACCATGGAACAATCCGATCCTATTTACAAAAAATTCAGGGACTACCTCTCAGCGGTTCAATACGGCCACATAGAACACCCATGGGCTATGGTTATAGGTTAACAGATTAGATTTTTATAGTATTTTTTTAATATGACTGTGGTACAATGTAAATAATATACTATTTTTTAAAGATCAAAGTTCGTCCTAGATTTATGTTTTTGGGCTCTGGGTTATTTGCATAATTCTTTAAATTTTGATACTATTGGAAGTAAATTATTGAGGACCGATGTTTCAGTTTAGAAAACGTATTGTAATGACCCTTCGACAAATTGAGTAAATGCTACTTACAATAATTCAATTATCCAAATAAAAATTTGAAATTATTTTTTTTACCGAATTTTTCAAATAATAACAAGTTACAATGTATATATAAAAACTATTTTTAATTCACTATTTTTGCATTAATGGTACCAATGTTACCTTCTTTTCATATAATTTTTTATTTTATTTTATAATGGTAAGTAAGAATAAGGTTTAATGCCAATTTTCTTGGAAAAAGGCTTACTTTGTATCTTCTGATAAATGGGAATAGAAAATTTATCACAATTTGAAAATTAAAAGCAAAATTAAAAGTACCTGCAACTAGTACTACGAGTAGTGCCGTAAATCATTCGAGAGAGCAATAACTCTTGTCAGTTTAATAATATAATATACATATTTTAATTTGTGTTCTAGACACGAAAGTAAGTTTCAAATTAAAAATATATGAATTTAAAAAATACGTGTTTTAAAAATATTATTGGATATACAGGGTGTTGCGTTTTTTCCTGGCAAACCAAAATATATATTTTTTAAATTGAACACCCTGTATTTTATTTTAGTTTTAGAATGGTTTGGTAATACTGTATTATTATGAAATTAGAGAACGATGCAGTCCCCAAAATAAATTATCATAATTTAGGTAGGTTTACATTGATTTCAAAATTCAAGGATACCAACATGTTAGTTAAGAACACATACATACCATCAGTGAGTTATTGATCTATAACTGTTTTAATATTGGATATGCAAAAAAAATTATGACCATTTTTATCAGTCATTCTTAAATATACAGGGTGGTTCATAAATGAGGGACTGATACTTTTTTAAAGCAAAACACCCTGCAGGTACCGTAAGTAACTTTTTTGTGATTTTTTTTAAATTTTCTATTTTTTAAGTGGTTGCTGTATGGTGTTAGGTTCTATTTAAGCAATATTTGACGATCCTGACAATAAAGTGATTTTTTTTTTATTTTACGCTGTTCCATATAACCCAGAGTTTGGGGATATATGGAACAAGGGCAATTTTGCATGTAATATAAATGAAAACTTATGTTTATTCAATATAGGATTGATCATATGTCTATATGGAATAAATTTAAACAAACATTTTTTTTTAATCATAGGAGTGGGAAAAGAGACATAAATGTGAAAAACCAAAAAAACCTCTTTATTGGCTTATTACATTAGTTAGAACTTCAAAAACTAGATAATATAAAAAAACAACTTGTCACTGCAACAGTAATAAAGCTTATAACAGTAAAAAATATGAAAAATATTTCACAGCTTGTGTGGATATAGAAAAAATAGGAACAAAACTTTTGACGCATTAAGCATTCAAAAATAAGTAGAAACAAAAACAAAAATAAAGGTCAATACAGGGTATCCCAATGAAAAGTAGCCCGTTTCCATTTGATAAAATTTGGTTACGGTGAATTTAAAAGAGGAGATTTTTAAAAAACACCCTGTATAGATAATACATAATTTCTGTGTCACTGAAGCAAAACTTATAGCTACTTTTCATTGTATTATCAGTCAGGGCCATTTCAATATTCTCTTGGTCATAGTTTCTTCTATAGGTCGTTCCAGGGACATGCCTATGTTTTTGTGGCATCGTTCCATATATCCCTAGAAAACCCAACTTTTCATAAAAAACACTTTAAAAAAAATTGGGACAACTTAAAAATAATCAAAGTATGTGGGGTAATCGTTTAGGTTATGTATTAGAAATAACTTCATTGCGCATATATTCTATCTCTATCGGATAAAAAGATAGTCTCTATCTATCTATCTATCGTCTCGACACTTTTTTAGTTTTCTAAAACAGCTAAAAATTACCTTATTTTTCAACTTTTTTCCCAAAAACCACAGTTCCAGAAATTATTTACAACTTGGCGGAATGTCAAAACTAAACCCTGTACTAACCCAAGAAAAGAAAATTTCTCAAATATATTTGACAGATTTCGTGACAAAGCGGTAAATTTGAATTTTTGCACGTTTGTTCCATATAACCCCGGCTGTTCCATATATCCCAACTTACGGTAGTTATACATATTTGATGGTTTTTACATTGTCAAACAATTTTAATTTACTTTATTCATTTGCTATGTTGTATATAGGGTGTGTCAAAACGCGAGATTACGATGTTCTTAAATTTTAAATGGTATTAATTAATTAGTGGTATAATATACAGGGTATTCAATTTAAAAAATTAAGAAAATCGTAACCTTGCATTTTGGCAAATAATTGAAGTCTATTAAAATTGTTGAATAATGTGAAAACAATCAAAGGTGTATAAATACATGCAGGGTGTTTTGCTTCAAAAATATATAGGTTTGCTCAGCTCCTTATTTATGGACCACCTTGTATATTTAAGAATAATTATTTGTTGGTATCGTTGAATGGGTAAATTCATAAGGAATTTTAGGCTTAAATAATATTCAGGATGTTGCATTTCAAAAAATTTAGTAAATTGAACTTAAAATTAGCCATATTTTTGAGACACTCTGTATAAAATAAACCAGTTTTATGACAACTATTCGTTAGTTTAGTATATTATAAGTCTGTATATTAAACGATTTTGAAATGAATGTAAACCTGCCTAAATTAGAATAATTTATTTTGGTGTCTCTAATTTCATAAAAAAATTAATTTCTTGGCAAACCTGTAATATTTTGAAAAAAATCTAGGGTTGAATTCAGTATAAACAAACCATTCTAAAACTGAAATAAAATAAGGTATGTTCAATTTAAAAAATATACATATTTATTTTCCAGGCAAAAACGCAACACCCTGTATATCCAAAAATATTTTTAAAACACGTATTTTCTAAATTCATATAACTTTTATTTAAAACTTGTTGCGTGTCTATAACACAAATGGAAATATTAATGGGACACCCTGTATTTTTTCTACTGCCAGTTCAATTTAAATTCTACAATATTTATTGAATTTCACGCTAGACCTGATACTCTATTTCTTAGGTAAAAAAAAAATATTTGTTGGTTTATTAAGGTGTTGTATACAAATTATAATTGGTTACAATCTGTTGAGTAATGGATTATTATTCGTCACTTTTAAATTATTAATGTAGGTACTTGTATTAAAAATACCTCATAATTAACAATTTTTATAAAGTACATTTCTATAATTAAGGGGTTAGAGCAAAAAGGGTATAAGTGCAGATTATATAGTTTTGAGTAATTAGATGTTAAAGTTAATTGCTATTTGAAAATTCTATGAAAAAGAAATTGTCTTAGTGCTAAGGTGTGTGGCTAAAAAAATTAGGCAAAATCCTATGAATAAAGTAAAGTTTAAAAATAAAAATTGGTTCAGCCAAAATTTTGAATTTCATGTACTTATACCCTTTTTGCACAAACGAAAATAGTAATGATGTTAAAGTTGGTCAAATAAAACTAATTCTTTTTCAATATAAGCATGTTTATTAAAGGAAATACAACTTATGATTCATAATCCGAATCAAGTTCATGATCATCCAAGTCTTCTTCTTCATTGGCTCCATTGTTAGAATTACTGGGACCTGGTTCTGAATTTTTAGTAGTTGCTGTTTTGGCCTTTGTGCTTTCTTCCCTTTAGATTTTTTATGGATCATATTTTTGTAAAACCCATGATAAATAGGTGGAATGTACTCCAGAAGGCTCTGGAAATTATTCAATTTTTCAAGTTTAATAGGCTCTGGGGATTTGTAAGATTGCTGCCGTGTTTATTCTAAGGAAAACGATGGACGTCCGACGAAACGTGATCCGCAAGCACATTTTGAAAATGGATACGAACTATCTAGAGTATGTTTAAACTCAAATGAAAATGTTTCCATATCTTTGTCATATTTAAAATAAGCGACTTTCCTAAATTTCAATGGTTTTCCTTCGGAGTCTTTCTTGAAATCTTTTATTAATTGTCTAAATTTTCAAAGGAGTAAAACATTTCTTGAGTCATATTACACACGATAAGTTTCTTTGAGGAACGAGCAATCACTGTCCTCCACTGATCAGGTATGAATACTTGTGGATTCTTTTTCCTATTTTTGTCAATTAAAGCGAAGTTTCTGTCACATTTCATGTATGTATGGTCCGGTTCTAAAAACTTGTGATGAATTTCTTCTAGGTGGGTAGCTTTAATTAGAAACATAAATAATTTGCATATGTTTTTATTCTTATTTTGACCCCACATGAATCACTATATGCTATGAGTTTGGTAACATTGGGGAGCAATTGCTTAATAAAATGTATTAAACAAGAACCAATTTCTTGTGATCCTCTACCACCTACAGTTTCATCCTAAGTGTACATGTAAGCTTCACCAGTAATCAAATTATGGACGCAAAAATTGTACGTCCAAAGTTGTCTCAGATAAAAGACCTTTGATGTTGTTAATAACGGAGTAGGTACCTAATTTTTGTTGTAAATCGAAGCAAACTACAGCAGTACCCGTCAATTTTTTGTGCATTGTAATATCTAAATCCTTTGCATTAGATGCTTCATCCGCCTTTCTTTGATGGACTTCCAATAATGTCTTAGCTGATTTCACACTGTCTTCATTGGCTGAATGTTTAATAATATTTTTCAAACTATCGCACCTTAAGCAAGTATCAGTGTAAGCAGTGATCTCTCCGGTCACGTCGTGGATGTGTGACTGCTGGGAGGTTCCACCATGGGCCGTGTCACCATGGGATTCATCCGACTAGCGTTTAACCATCGACGACGTGGAATGAACGAAAATGAATGAGGGTGTGAATTAAGACCTTCAAATGGTGGTACAATAAGCCGCAGGCTGCAGTATTGC